ACAAAAGCACAGTGAGAAACTACACAAACACTGGGAATTCCCTGGCAGTCCAGTGGTTAAGACTCTGTGCTTCCACTGCAGGGGGCGCTGGGTTCAATCCCTGGTCAGGGAACTAAGATCCCGCAGGGCCCTTGGCACGGCCAAAAAAAAAAAAAAAAGTCTACACAAACACACACACACACCACACTCCCTCTCCTCTCAGAGACCCCAGGCCAGAACTCAACACCCTGGCACCTGTCCATGGATAACCCTGTCAGATTTTGGTATCAAGAGTGGTTCTAAAGGAACAGAATCTTAAAAGTTTTCTGAACTGGCTCTGGGGTTTCTGAAACTGGCTCTCTAATCTGATGTGATTTAAAGCACTAATGACTCCACTCCCACTAGTTAAGAGAGCACTGATAGTACATGGCGTGATGGGGCAAAAGAAATGCACAAAACACCACACCCGGTACTTAAAACAGGCAAAGTTCTGGGTAACTGTGTATTTGACACTTAGAACATTTCTGTCATGCCGAGTATAACAAGATTAGCTGGTTGTTCCTAATTACACTGGACAAAGCGGGGAAAGACAAGGATGACTCAGGGATTCAAATTCCCAGCTCAAGGGTCCCATAAATGACCCAAAAGTTTCTACATCTGCCCCCAAAGAGATCCTCATCTCCAGTAGCCTCAGAGCTAAACCAGCTGAAAACTGAACCCAGAGTCTCACCCTGCAAGTGGCTGAACTGAATTCCCAACTTGCAAGCATCTGCCATTAAGGTGAGGGTATTCGGCTGCAATGTCAACTCTTCCGAGTCTCCAGCCTGCCAGCCCACCCTGCAGACTCCAGACTTGCCAGTGCCCATATGGCATGAGCCAATTCCTTAAAATGTGTGTGTGTGTGTGTGTGTGTGTGTGTGTGTGTGTGTGTGAGAGAGAGAGAGAGAGAGAGAGAGAGAGAGAGAGAGAATGAGAGAGAGAGAGAGAGATTGGTTGTGTTTCTCCAGAGACCTGACCAACACAGATCTCGGTGAGATTTTATAACATTCACAGCCCAACCCATGGGCCACTCTCTGGGTTCAAGATGACTAGGTTGTGCATTAACTTAACATGAAGGAACTGTCCCCCAGGTTGGGTCAGTCCTCACGGGGCCCGTGACCATGTGCTTCTCATTACACTGCCACCATTCCCACTGACCCGCAGGGCATAGGAAGTCTCGTCTCAAGTTTGGGTTGTGAACGTTTCTGCATCTGGGTTCCGGG